AAATTAGTATAAGGAAACATGTAAAAAGATAACTTTTAAATGTGTACATTTCCCTCCACAATGTTACATCAAGAGTTTTTTTCACATTTCCCTCCACAATGTTACATCAAGAGTTTTTTTCACTTTGGTACACCAAAGTTTGTCTAATTGCATTTAGAATAGTGAAATTGGATATGTGAAACACAGTACTATTGCTGTCTGCTGATAGATCAGTTAGTTACCTTTTGGAAACACAGTACTATGTGAAACACAGACTATTTATTTAATTTAAATTTTTTTTTTTGTCAAGTCTTGTTGAATATTAATGAGTTCTCTGTTTCTACTGATTTTCTGTTAATAAATGCTATAAAATCTACAGGTTGCCAGCTGGGGAGCCTATCTTATGTCGCGAAATATCCTTACAATGTCGTTTGCGCCAAGGGACACTCACGAAGCCCAAGTGCAATTCGCTCTCGAACGAGGAGTCCCGGCACTTATTGGTGTCATTGCCTCTAAAAGACTCCCTTACCCTTCTCGAGCTTTCGACATGGCCCATTGTTCTCGTTGCCTCATTCCTTGGGGTCAATATGGTAATTTCAACATTTTTGCGGAGAAAAATCGATGATTTGGCCTTTTGCGATTTATTAATGAAAACAAAAACAAAAAAATCGATCAACCAATTCTATTTGCATTAATTAATGTTGTGCTCGAAATAGATGGCGCGTATTTAATTGAGGTCGATCGGGTTTTGCGTCCGGGCGGGTACTGGATTCTGTCAGGCCCACCGATCAATTGGCGAAAGTATTGGAAAGGGTGGGAAAGGTCGAAGGAAGATCTAAATGCCGAGCAAATGCAAATCGAGAACGTGACAAGAAGCTTGTGTTGGAAGAAGTTGGTCGAGAAGAACGACATCGCCATATGGCAAAAGCCTTATAACCACTTGAAGTGCAAGAAGTTAAAAACCGTGCACAAAAAACCCGCGCTCTGCCCTGCCCGGGATCCCGACAAAGCTTGGTGAGCAAAATCTATCATTAATCGAAATTCGAAAAGTCGTGTGAACTTTTTATGATTTCTTTCTTTAATTAATTAATTAATTACAGGTACACGAATTTGGAAACGTGTTTGACTCCCTTACCCGAAGTGTCCGCCAGCGAGGACGTCTCGGGAGGGAAGATCGAAAAATGGCCTAAAAGATTGAATGCGATACCACCTAGGGTTAGTAGGGGGACCGTAAACGGAGTCAACTCGTTGACTTTTCGACACGACACGCAATTGTGGAAGAAGAGAGTGTCGTATTATAAATCGGTCAACAATCAGCTTGGTCAAACAGGAAGGTACCGGAACATTCTCGACATGAATTCGTTTTTGGGCGGGTTTGCGGCTAATTTAATCGAGGATCCGGTTTGGGTGATGAACGTGGTCCCGGTTGAGGCTAAGGTTAACACGCTTGGTGTTATTTACGAACGTGGATTAATCGGGACATACCAAAACTGGTATATATATATATATTATATACGTGATAAAAAAAATATGCACCCCTTTTTTTTCCGATTATTTGTCTTTTAATTTTTTTTCGATCGATTCTAACATGATTTGATCGGTTAATCGTTTCGTTTTTTGAGGTGTGAGGCAATGTCGACTTACCCTAGAACGTACGACCTCATACATGCCGATTCGGTTTTTACACTCTACAAGGACCGGTGAGTATATAACTATATATATCTAATGTTTTTACTAGGAAAAATTCAAATCAAATCTATTTCTAATTGGGATTTGAAATAAACGGCGTTTTTTTTTTTTTTTTTTTNATTCTTGGGAGTGTAGGTGTGAAATGGAGGATATATTGCTAGAAATGGATCGGATTTTACGACCGGAAGGGAGTTTGATAGTGAGGGATGACGTGGACATGCTGGTGAAGGTGAAGAAAATAGCGGATGCTATGAATTGGGAGAGTCGAATACTGGATCATGAGGATGGACCATTAGAGAGGGAAAAGCTTCTTTTTGCAGTCAAATTGTATTGGACAGCCCCAGCTAATTCTGGTCAACAGTCATAAAGCTACTCAAAATTTGATTGTTTTAGTACTGTTTGTGTCTTTTTTGATTTATTCCTTGTAATGACCCAAGAGAAAAGGGAAAATAATACAGCTTAGTACTGGGACATTTTGGTGTTTTTTTAATTCTTTATTTTTTGTCTTTTAAGGGAGTTATTGTTTTCACTGGCTCTTAAAAAAAATCGCGAGTCTATTGATGTTAAAAGTATGATTAGTTGATCTATTTTGGGATTTGTTGTAAGAAAAATGTGCTGTTTAATGATTTGAACTGAGTCTTTCCATAGAATAAAATCATAAATGAATGATAAATAAGTGTCAATTTCCAGTTTTTTGACTCGAGCAACAAAAGACAAGTTTCAGGTGGAAAGTGGAAACAGACAAGTCATGTAATTTACTTGCCATTTCAAGGTAGGTATTTAATATATATCAAATGTATAATTACATTCCTTGGCGGAGTACATGTGAATAAAGTTAAGTTAGAGAGAAGAGAGACATTCTCTCACTAGAAATCATCTTGCTTTCTAGGGCTTGAACAATTTGAACTTTCACCTCTTTGATCTTGAGTGTTTTTGAGTGCTTAACCCGTTCTTAATTCCGCCCACAAAATTCGAACAATTCCATGGTTGAAACTCCTAAAGCCGAAGATCCATAATGGCTAGGAGCAAGAGAAAAGCATCATACCGCCGCCTCATTCTTGACAACACCGAGGACATCGACGATTTTGAATCCATGGAAAAAGAGACCACGACACCACTTGCAACCAAAAATACCGCCGGTTGTTCCAAAGCCGAGAGTGTTCTTGGGCTCCCCATATCCAAAGGTAAGCTCACTAATGAGGATAATGTTGTTGATGATCTTGTGAACATGGGATTTGATGTTGAGATGTTGGAGGGAGTAGAGGGTAATCAAGAGATAGCAACAAGTGAAGGCAAAAAAGACACCCACAAGGTGTTTGATAAAATGCCTCAAAAGGAAAATGTAAAGGAAAACTTGGTGAAGCCTCAAAAGAATGCCGCTACACAAAAGAGGCCCTTCTCGGCCCTCTTTGCCGATAATCGCAAACCCTCCTTAGGCCTCAAATTGGACTATATCCCGCCGAAAGAAGGAGGCGCGTTCCTTGAAGAGGAGGACATCTCCGAGCTTACCGACACGTGGGGCTTTTGCCTAGTCGGGTATTTTACCCAAAGGCACCTCGGGAAAGATGCTCTCCTAAAGTTATGTAAGACTTGGAACGTAGAGTTCGAGATTGTCCCCAATGTCAATGGGTGGATTGTTTTCAAATTTAAAACCGATGATGATAGAGTAAAAGTGCTTCAAGGGGGACCTTACACCATATATGGAAGGGGGCTCATCCTAAAAAATCTTCCAAATTGGTTCTAATTTGGGGAAGATGATATCAAGGTGGTTCCCGCTTGGATCAACCTCCCGTTCTTGCCCGGAGAGTGTTGGAATGCCAAAGCTATCGCCAAAATAGCCTCGTGTGTTGGTAAACCCATCTCCACCGACAAGTTAACGGCAACACGTGCTCGAAGGAATTATGCCCGGGTTTTAGTAGAGCTTGACCTCTCAAAAGAGCGGACCCTTAGTGTCCCCGTTAATGGTAAGGATGGGCTATTGTTCGAACAAAAGGTGGAGTATGAATATGTCCCACATTATTGCTCCCATTGCAAGTGTATTGGCCACTCTCTCTCGAATTGTGGTAAGTATGCGGGCCACATGAAGGGCAAAAAAGCAAATGGGGAACCGGAAAAGCATGGGAATGTAGACCATCCGGAAAAGAAAGCCGAGGAGGACACTCTCAAGGTCAATGCCCACGAGAAAAAGAAGGCAAAGACCACCAAAGAAGATGAGAAAAATGAACACATGTGTCAAGGGAGCAACTCAAAACAAGATAGCACCAAGGAGGAGAACAAAGAGGAAAACCCTTGCCCGATGGAGATTGCTAGCTCCTCAAACACCGGGCCAACCAATCCCGGAGGAGACAAACCGGAGGTGACCCCGGATGATGATGGTTTTCAAAAAGTGGAGAGGCGAAACAAAGTCCAAACAAGAAGTTGCTCGGCTAGCAACAATCCACCAATGGAACAATCAACGAAGCACAAGGACAAGACGAACACAAGAAAGGACCCGGGGAAAAGCGCAAATTCGAAGAAAGGGGGCAACCCCTCCTCTTCCCAATGATAATCGCTTCTTGGAACATTAGGGGCTTTAACGGGCCCCTAAAACAAGATGAGGTTGTCAACCTCATCCGGAAGAATAATATAGACATTCTTGGTCTATTGGAGACGAAAACCGACAATAGGCGCCTCTCTCTCTTTGTGCAAAGAAGGTTGCCGGGTTGGGATTTTTGCGAAAACTTTCATGTTATCGATCGAGGCCGTATAGCCATCATTTGGAACACCGCAAGAGTGGACCTTACGGTAGAAAGCACCTTGTCACAAGTCATCCTAACGAAAATACATTGCAAGGTTAGTAATAACTCCTTCTTTACTAGCTTTGTATATGGTCTTCATTCGAGGGGTGATAGGAAATTACTATGGAATGACCTCGTAGCTTCTCGGGGTACTATTTCTTTGCCTTGGTTGATTCTCGGAGATTTCAATGCCATCCTCAAGCCGGAGGAAAGAATAAAAGGAGAGCGTGTCACGAACCGGGATACCATGGACCTCTTTGAATTGTGTGACACTTTGGGCCTATCCGACATCCCCTCTAGTGGATTCTTTTTCACTTGGACAAATAGTCATGTTTGGTCCAAGTTGGATAGAGCTATGATGGACCCCCAATGGGTGAATGCCGATTATTTCTCTCATGCCTCATTCCTTGCCCCGGGTATATCCGACCATTCTCCTTGTCTAGTTCATATCTTCGAAGCCGGAGCCAATGGGGGTTCCCCTTGGCGCTTCTTTAATATGTGGACATTGCATGAAAACTTTTTGCCGTGTGTTTCCGACACTTGGAGTCATGTTGGTGAGGGATCGAGGCAATTTCGCCTCACTACCAATCTCAAGAATCTTAAGAATTCACTCAAGGCACTTAATGAGAAATCTTACTCACATATCTCTACTCGGGCCAATGAAGCCAAAGCCGCTCTCAAGGAAGCACAACAAATGCTCCACGACCAACCGGATGATCTCGGCATCAAGTCTAAGTTGGGGCCTCTTAGGCTCCAAGCTCTCAACTTGGCCAAAGCGGAAAAACTATTCTTCCAACAAAAGGCCAAATGCACTTTCCAAATCAAAGGAGATAAATGTACCAAGTTCTATCATAGCTTGGTCAAGAAGAGAGCGAAAAGGAACTATATTGCTTCGATAACTCGTGAGGATGGCACATTAACCGGTTCCATGGAGGATGTTTCTAAGGAATTTATTCGTTACTATGAAGGCCTATTGGGAACCGGGGTGCAAACGGAGGACATTGACCCTCAAATTCTTAGTTCGGGGCCGACCCTTAGCCCCAACCATCGTAGCACTCTAATGGTCCCGGTAACCGATGAAGAGATCAAGTCCACCCTTAGAGGCATTGAAGGAGGCAAATCCCCGGGCCCGGATGGCTACACCTCTACCTTCTTCTTAAAGAGTTGGGATGTGGTTGGTAATGACCTTGTTGCGGCAATCAAAGAATTTTTTCGTTCCGGGTCCATCCTCAAGCAATGGAACCATACCGGAATCACGCTTGTCCCTAAGTCCTCACACTCCTCCCGAGTCACGGACTTTCGGCCAATTGCGTGTTGCAACACGGTTTACAAGATTTGCTCCAAAATCCTCGCAAGAAGAATTAGCGAGGTCCTCCACACTATTGTTGATGAAGCCCAAGCCGCTTTCGTGAAGGGAAGAAATATGACGGACAATATTCACCTCATGCAACAATTACTCCGTCAATATTTGAGAAAAAGAGTCTCCCCGAGATGCTTGATCAAGATCGACCTCCGTAAAGCATTCGATTCCGTCTCATGGGCCTTCTTGAGGCAAATGCTTGAGGGTTTAGGCTTCCCAATGGCTTTCACTAAGTGGATCATGGAGTGCATCACCACCCCTTCATATTCATTATCCATCAATGGAAGCCTTAAAGGCCATTTCAAAGGAGCTCGTGGGCTAAGACAAGGTGACCCTCTCTCGCCTTTTCTTTTTGTTCTTTGTATGGAATATTTATCTCGGCTCATTAAATGGCACACGGCGGAAGACCCGAACTTTAAATTCCATCCTATGTGTGAGAAGCTTAGAATCTCTCACCTTGTCTTCGCCGATGACCTCATGCTCCTCTCTCGGGGAGACTCGGGGTCAATACAATTGCTTATGAATTGTTTAAGGGATTTTGGAGCAAAATCGGGGCTTGAAATGAATGTGCTCAAATCCAATATATATATGGCCGGAGTTAAAGGGCAAGACCGTGAGACAATCCTTGATGACACTAGTTTGCAAAGCGGGCCTATGCCTTTTCGCTACCTCGGGATTCCCCTCATCGCGGATCGCATTACCGGGAGGCTCTTTGATGATATGATCAAACAAGTTGAAAGCCAATTAAGTGCATGGAGGAGTCACTCCCTTTCCTATGCCGGTAGATTGGAACTAATTCGATCGGTCATTCAAGGCATCGCTTGCTTTTGGATGGGTATATTCCACTTGCCGGGCATTGTTCGAACCAAGATCATTCAACTTTGTAGGAGGTTCTTATGGGGCTCCAAAAAAGCCCCCGTTGCATGGGATACTTTGTGTCTACCTCGTGCGGAGGGTGGATTGGGACTCCGTAACTTGGACGCTTGGAACCGAGCCCTTCTCATGAGGACTATTTGGAATATGCAAGCAAAGAAGGATTCACTTTGGTACAAATGGATCCACAATATCTATTTGAAGGAGAAAAGTATTTGGGATTGGCAAGTTTCCAAAAATGATTCTCCCCTCTTCAAATCCCTCTTTGAAATCCGGCAAAGCTTGATTGAAAAAGCGGGTAGCGAGCATGGCGCGGAAGCCCTTCTCCGTGCTTGGAATTTGCGTGACAAACAAGATGGAAGGAGGAAGTGCTATGATTTTCTCCGTCCCAAGGGTATCGAGAAGCCATGGACCGGGGTTGTTTGGGGAAGTTGCAATACCCCTAAACATTCTTTCATCTTATGGCTCGGCGTAATGAATAGGCTCCAAACAAAAGATAGATTGGAGTTCCTCAACGAAGACCCCACATGCCTCCTTTGTGGTACCGCAAACGAATCCTCGAGTCATCTCTTCTTCGAGTGTCCCTATAGCTTGGAGATTTGGAGTGCAATTAGAGTTTGGGTTAGCCTCCGTCACATGCCATCTACCCTTAAAGGCGCCCTCAAATGGACTAAAAAAGAAGGGAAAGGTACGACTTGGCGAGCCAAATTGAAGAAAGCGGCGCTTGCGGCAACCGTCTACTTCATTTGGAACGCACGCAATAGATTGATTTTTGAAGGCGAAAGTCAACCTCCAAGCCTCGTGATTAGAAAGGTAAAAACACATGTTTACCGCACTATCTTTGCTATCTACCCGAGTGTTCTTGCCGAATTCGAAAGGAGATGTTTTGGCCTTGAATTTTGAAATGTTTTGAGTTGGTTGTTGCAAAGTGTGTGAGCTATTGGAGAGGAAGTCTATTG